CAGGAATATTATATGCAAAAATTGTTACGCTAAGATAAGTATAAGTTATTGAGGTAAGAAACTACATTCATAGGTGGCATTACTAGTAATCGTCGCTATTATTGGGCAAGCGTTATTTCGTGATTGTGACGTTGCAGTGACGTAATTTTTGGATGACGAAGTCAGGTGAGGGTCAGGAATCATATATACAAAAATTGTTACGCTAAGCCTAATAGAAGGTATTGAGGTATGAAACTACACCCATAGCGGACAGACAGGCGTATTTATCACGATTGCATTATGGTCGCTATTATTAGGCAAGCTCTATTTCGTTATTGTGAAGTCGCAGTGACATAATTTTTGGATGACGAAGTCAGGTGAGGGTCAGGAATATTATATGCAAAAATTGTTACGCTAAGATAAGTATAAGTTATTGAGGTAAGAAACTACATTCATAGGTGGCATTACTAGTAATCGTCGCTATTATTGGGCAAGCGTTATTTCGTGATTGTGACGTTGCAGTGACGTAATTTTTGGATGACGAAGTCAGGTGAGGGTCAGGAATCATATATACAAAAATTGTTACGCTAAGCCTAATAGAAGGTATTGAGGTATGAAACTACACCCATAGCGGACAGACAGGCGTATTTATCACGATTGCATTATGGTCGCTATTATTAGGCAAGCTCTATTTCGTTATTGTGAAGTCGCAGTGACATAATTTTTGGATGACGAAGTCAGGTGAGGGTCAGGAATATTATATGCAAAAATTGTTACGCTAAGATAAGTATAAGTTATTGAGGTAAGAAACTACATTCATAGGTGGCATTACTAGTAATCGTCGCTATTATTGGGCAAGCGTTATTTCGTGATTGTGACGTTGCAGTGACGTAATTTTTGGATGACGAAGTCAGGTGAGGGTCAGGAATCATATATACAAAAATTGTTACGCTAAGCCTAATAGAAGGTATTGAGGTATGAAACTACACCCATAGCGGACAGACAGGCGTATTTAACACAATTGCATTATGGTCGCTATTATTAGGCAAGCTCTATTTCGTTATTGTGAAGTCGCATTGACGTAATTTTTGGATGATGAAGTCAGGTGAGGGTCAGAAATGTTATATGCAAAAATTGTTACGCTAAGATGATTAAAAGTTATTGAGGTAAGAAACTACATCCATAGGTGGCATTACCAGTAATCGTCGCTATTATTAGGCAAGCTCTATTTCGTTATTGTGACGTCGTATTGACGTAATTTTTTGATGATTAAATCAGGTGAGGGTCAGGAATATTACGTGCAAAAATTGTTACGCTAAGCCTAATAGAAGGTATTGAGGTATGAAACTACACCCATAGCGGACAGACAGGCGTATTTAACACAATTGTATTATGGTCGCTATTATTAGGCAAGCTCTATTTCGTTATTGTGAAGTCGCATTGACGTAATTTTTGGATGACGAAGTCAGGTGAGGGTCAGGAATGATATATGCAAAAATTGTTACACTAAGATAAGTATAAGTTATCGAGGTAAGAAACTACATCCATTGCGCTAGGGCAAATTAATATGTCGGTTTCTGCTTGTCTAAAGCCTTGCATAGAGTGAAAGCGTTCCACGTCCTATTAATAAAATGTGGCCCAATACATGATCAGTCTCTGGATATTAAATAACAAGTCTTTATGTCTGCGGCACCTAACCTCAATCATTGCGTGAATTGAATCTTCTTTCTGTTTGTCTAAAGCCTAGCTCAGAGCGGTATCGTATATCACCCTATTATTGTATTATGGTCGCTATTATTAGGCAAGCTCTATTTCGTTATTGTGAAGTCGCATTGACGTAATTTTTGGATGATGAAGTCAGGTGAGGGTCAGAAATGTTATATGCAAAAATTGTTACGCTAAGATAATTAAAAGGTATTGAGGTAAGAAACTACATCCATAGGTGGCATTACCAGTAATCGTCGCTATTATTAGGCAAGCTCTATTTCGTTATTGTGACGTCGTATTGACGTAATTTTTTGATGATCAAATCAGGTGAGGGTCAGGAATATTACGTGCAAAAATTGTTACGCTAAGTTAACTAGAAGTTATTGAGGTACGAAACTACACCCATACCGGACACACAGGCGTATTTATCACGATTGCATTATGGTCGCTATTATTGGGCAAGCTCGATTTCGTTATTGTGACATCGCATTGACGTAATTTTTGGATGACGAAGTCAGGTGAGGGTCAGGAATGATATATGCAAGAATTGTTACACTAAGGTAAGTATAAGTTATCGAGGTAAGAAACTACATCCATTGCGCTAAGGCAAATTAATATGTCGGTTTCTGCTTGTCTAAAGCCTTGCATAGAGTGAAAGCGTTCCACGTCCTATTAATAAAATGTGGCCCAATACATGATCAGTCTCTGGATATTAAATAACAAGTCTTTATGTCTGCGGCACCTAACCTCAATCATTGCGTGAATTGAATGTTCTTTCTGTTTGTCTAAAGCCTAGCTCAGAGCGGTATCGTATATCACCCTATTAATAGATCGTAGCACAATACATGAGCTATTGCTGGACATAAAATAATAAGTCTTTATGTGTGTGGTACCCAACTTCAACCATTGCGTAAAATAACATGTATTTTCTGCTTGTCTAAAGCCTTGGTTAGAGTTGTATCGTATAACGCTCTATTTCAGATTGTAGCATGATACATGAGCTATTGCTGGACAGAAATTGGTCAGAATGGGATATCGTGAACGTTCCTTGGCGACAATTTAGTCGCTTGTGATTCTTGTTTATTTTGAGCTCTGTACAACGACCCCGATAAGAGAGAGGTCGCTGACGTATTGAGTTTGTTGACATACTCGTAGGCGCCATTACGGGTGACCGTCGCTATACTTTGGCAAGCTGTATTTCGTTATTGTGACGTCGCAGTGACGTAATTTTTGGATGACGTCATCAGGTGGGGGTCAGGAATCATATATCCAAAAATTGTTACGCCACGCCCACTAGAAGTTATTCAGGTGAGAAAGTACATGAGACCCCTGTAGTCTACACACAACAGAATATTATTTAAAGCAAAAAGTTCTTGGTACAGACTGGGTGAGATATTTAAACAATTAAAATATCACGGTATCATTCATTAATTCTGTACCGGTACCGGTAGTCTACCTAATTAGTCTATTTGATTGGATTAAGTCTGTAAGTTGAGATCAGGAGATAGGTCCCTGGAATTTTGCTACAAAATGAATGAATTTTCCAAACTCAATACAGGGAGTCCTCGACTTACGACGTTGTTCCGTTTTCGAGACGCGGTGTAACCCGAATTTCAGTGCAAGTCGGAACATTATACTGTACAGTACATAAATTACTCTATACATATCGTTCTGTATTGTTAAATATGGTACTGTAACAAAATGTACAAATACTGCAAAAAAAGTACTTTATTAGAAAAACAGAAAACAATTCCATATCACATGAATAAAAGCAAATAGGCCTACTGTACAGTACAGTATTATCTTTTATATTTTTCATGGAGTGCGTTCTTAACATCGAAACAACGTTATGGCAGTATGGAGTGCGCGTTCGTAACCTTGAAACAGCGTAAGTCGCGACCTTCGTAACCCAAGGACTCCCTGTATCTGAATACTGTAATTAATATCTTCACCCGAGCTATAGGTTTTTAATAATTGTCTATTTCTGTATTTGAATACAAAACAGGCATTCAATACAGCAATACAGCAATAATCACTACAGCACTATATCCAGATATCAGGTTATTATAGTCTGTATATTGGTCAAATTTGCTTCCTCGACGCAGCTTGGCATCGTCTCTGAATTGGGCGAGAAAGATTTACATAAGGTTGAGGTAATTTCTGATGCAGCATGAAATTTAAATATTTTTACAGAATTTATAGATCTAAAGTTTTAAGTTGTACTTAAATCTCATACGCCTACAACATCTTCCGATCACTTTAATAATTTACGTACATCTGTGTCGGTAACGCGCTCTACTGAATAATGGTATTTTGACGAGCATGACTTCAGCATGAGCGACGCTCTGCACTGTTAAGTCAGTAAGTAACGGGCAGTCATTTTTGGGCAGAATTTGCATTTTTTAACAAAAAATTAATTTTGCAACATTAAAAAAGTTGAGAATAGATTTACACATGGGTCTTACTACTTACTGAATAGAGCGCAGAAGAGCGCGAAACAGCGCAGAAGAGATGGAAACATTTTTCTTTCATTATTTATTAGCGTCTCTGAAATTTTAAACAATTTGATAGGAAACAGTATACAGTGGTAGGGAATGATCCAGAGTTTATATCAGTAATCTTCAACATCTTTAAATACCCCAACATGACGCACCCTAACCTGGTACAATACTGTGTTCAGGTTGTGCGTCATCTTGGTGCACATACTTCATGACGCATCCTAACCTGGTACACATACTGTGTTCAGGTTGTGCGCCATCTTGGTGCACATACTTCATGACGCATCCTAACCTGGTACACATACTGTGTTCAGGTTGTGCGCCATCTTGGTGCACATACGTCTGGAGTTCCAAAATTTCTTTGATTTTGCTTATTGGTGTGCTCATATTACGACATGTGAGGTTATTTAAAGATGTTGAAGATTACTGATATAAACTCGTGATCATTCTCTACTACTGCATACTGTTTCCCATCCAATTGTTTAAAATTTCACGGACGCTAATAAATAATGAAAAATAAATGTTTCCCTCTCTTCTGCGCTCTTTCCCTCTCTTCTGCGCTCTTCGCGCTCTATTCAGTAAGTAGTAAGACGGTTTACACATAACAGCACTCGAAATAATAATTGACATCAGCACTATACAGGATTTTAGCCAAGATATGCCAGTTTAGGATTTTGTTGGGAGTTCGGAGGCAATTTGATGAAACAGTGGTAGCTTAATTCAGTATTTACAATAGGATTTATTCATATTAAGAGAAACAAACAATTTGTTAATCTTCAATTACATTGGCTATAATTATGTCAAATGCCTTTGTTTTAGATATCATTGCAAGATTAACAATTTAGGTCTTAAATATAGTATGATTCAATGAAAAACTTGGTTGACAACACTGTGATGGAATATTCTCACAGTTTATTGTTTATTGGAATTTTACTTGCACATCCTGACAAACAGTAAAGATGGTCATCGTGACATCTAGCTCAACAATCGCCTCCGGTGTTACCACCTCTGCAGTTCATAGCTTGACATCGGTTAATACATCTGTTACCATGTCAGCGGCATGGACTCCCAATTGCATTGGACCACAGTCAGGCAATGGTAGCCCCATGGATTTGTCATCATCAGCTTATCAAATGCTCCTCAAACAAGTTGAAAGTCTGAGGAAAGAGAATAGCTCATTAAAAGCGGAGCTTAAGAATAACACATCACATATAAGCAAGCTTGAAAACGAGGCTTCGAGAATGAAGGTATGTATCTCAAGAGTTTAGTATAATATTCGATCATTTTTGTTCTGTACAGCTATAAGCCCAATTACCATATGTATTAATTTGTTATTTAATTTTAGTTGTTAATGTGTATACTTATTTAAACTGATGCCTCTCAAATATATTCAAAATTATTGTAACTAGGTACTATTATACATTGAAAAGTTGATTCATTTAATCATGGAATTTAAAATTCACTTTATGCCTTCACTCTAAGTATCATAATCAGTAGCCTACCAACTTTTGTGTGTTCTTCACTGTGTTCTTTAGCCTGTTCCTGTTGATTTGTTTGTGCCTTATTATCCCTTTACTACATTACAATTGTAGGTCTTTAGTTCAAAAGGGTGAAACTTGAAAGCCAATGTTTTGAAAAAATGAGAGAAAAAACAAAAAGTCTTCAACTTTTTATTGAAATACTTATGGTGAATATTGTTCCAAACTATAAATAAACACCAGCTTAAAAAGCACCTGTTTTTGTGATATTTTATGTGGACAGCCACATTCCAACATTTCTTGATTTACCTTTTAGGCTATAAAATTTTTATTGTGAAGTACTAATTCTAACATATATAAATTAGTGTATTCAAATAAAAAAATATTCAAAGCGTATGTTCACAAAATCAATGTCCTTGGTAACCCGTAACATCAACACAAAATGTCTGCCTTTTACACATAAAAATATGGCGCTCCAGAAGCATGTGTACCAATATGGAGGTAACTAATTTTGTTTGCCTACTTTACGTCACTTTGTGTAAAGGGACTGAAGTCTATGGGCAGGGGGGATATTCACTTGGCTAACACAGACAGTCCCCGAACTCGTAATAAAAGTAAAATAAGGAAAATTGGAATAAAATTATGGCCTAACCCTAACCTGGTACGCATACTACGGGATTACCAAAAATGTTTATCAGTTTACCAATAAATGTTTTTTTTTCAAATTTAAGGAAACGGGTTAAATGTAAGCATAAAATTCTCGTGGATATGTCATTTAAATGCATAAAATCAATTTTCTGATTTCCAAAATAGGTTTTAGTATTTTTTTCTCTTATTTTTGCCTAGTCGAAACTTTCCAGACTTTCATCTCATTTTTTATTAATAAGTGACCTGCGACTCACATTTTTGCATTCGATTGATGAATAGTCCCATCGGATTTCAATTTCCCCTTCAAGATTTATTTTAGAAAAGTTCTTTGTCTCGAATTTTTATTAAAAAAAGTTTGTGGTTTTCGCTATTGATTTCTTGCTGGATCAATACCTATTTCCTTTCCCCTAGTCCCAGAGCATTGCATTTTAGTTATAAATTATTCATCTAATGCATAGTAGGCTAACATATGGGCGAATTTTTATTGAAGTGTAAATTAAAGGCGAGGGGGTTCTGCCTGTCTTCAAAAATGGTAAATAGCGGCAGATTTGGTTTAAAATAGCATAGAATGATGGATAAAATAACAAATAGATATTGAAAAAAATATGAGTAATTCAATATGAAGATTCAAGGTAGTCAGTTGGTATTTGATGCTTTTCTCAAGGTATTGAGCTCTAGAATAAATGAAGATATTCCAAATGATGTCTAAATGTAACAGTATACATAATTTCAAGAAGAATCAATAAATTAAGCCAGGTCAGGATTTACTGTCTGGTTCACTGATGACACTCAATCTGATATATATCAATATAGCAGATTATAATGAGAATGAGGTTACTGCATGACTTTGAATGAAAGGAGATTTAAATAATAATTTGGAATCTTCATTGAACTTATACAACAAATTCCTAACTGCTTCCATATTAAATTCAATTATAGTTATGTTTACAGGATGATATTGTGCTGAAATTTGTCAAATCGTTCAGGTTACTTGGTTGCTGTTTTCAATCCCAAAATCTGTGATGATCGAAAATTTCCTTGTTTTTAAACTGTTAATTTTATTTTGATATCTTGACTTTCAACTTATATGCATATGATTTTCAATTCTATCATTCCAGTAAAACTGGATTTAATTTTTGTGAAACTTGTACCTCCCACAAGAAACCTTTATAATTTATAATATTACGATATATATATATATCAAATTTCTTTCAATTCTGTTTTATTTTTTGATTTTTCCATTGTCAAATATTTCAATTTTTATATCTGAATAAATTTTCGTGATATGACTTGTTAACATACCACTTACCAGAGTATATTTTTCCCTGCAGGACATGGTATTATTACTTGGAAATCCCATCATTGGTAATGGATCGGAACACGATGCACATCAACTAAACAACAGCAACTATATGCATTATGCAGAGGCAAGTTTTCCCCAAGATGAAACTTCTTTTGCTGGAGATATAGCCAGCTCTAATACTGTTGGTCAGATACACCCTAATGCTCTTCAAACTCCTTTGAAACTTCAAAACGGAATGGACCAAGAATACAAGAAACAAAGGCCTGAGTTTCTTTTGGGCTTACGGCAAAATCCATATGGACAACATTCAGTTCTGCATCATAGTGCATTACCTGGTTCTGTGAGCCCGTCACCCACAGCTGCTGTAGCCGACGCTATGAAAAAGAATTTGTTGCCTTTAAGAGCTGAAAGGTATGATTATAGCACACCACTAATGCATTTTTTAAATATTTTAATGGGTTGCAAGTACAACTTTTTGTATATTCTGTAGGGCCAGTATTTATCGGACCATAACTATTGAAGAACAAACTAAGGATTTCTATCTTAAACAATTGGATGAATTAAAATCAAGATTGGATGGCGTTTCGGATTCAGATAAGGTAACATTTTTATATGTTTTATATTCATGAAGACATGAAATTTTCAAATTGAAAAGAGATTTTTCGATATCGTATATAGGGTTGCCACTTCTGGATACATTTTTTTTCGAATCGAATCTCGAATCAAAACTTTTCGAATCGAATCTTTCCGAATCTGATTCCATTAAGCTTTTTTTTTATTACATGCGTATGTTTGCCCAAAGTCACAAAAAAGCTCAAATCTAGAAGAAAAAAATTTGAAAATGGAATAGGCTATATAGCAAGGATGATAAGGGTTTTTCAGTGAATAAGCCACACTTATTTTCATCATGATAAAAAAGATGTAGGTCATAGATATCACTAATAAATGCATTGATGAAAAACTTGCTGTTGCAACTTATCTGTGAGTCTTACAATACTGAGTTATTGTGTTATACTTGTATCAGGGCTGAGGCAATTTGATGGAATTCATATGAGAAAATAAGCAGGGAACAGTTGTACTGTTATGTCGTAAACACAGTAACAGCACTGCTTTTCCTTGTCCCACACCAGTATATGTGACCGTGGTATTTCCCTTCTTGTTATATTGAATTAAGGCCGGCCTTATTACCGATTCTTTATCTTCAAAATCTTAGTACAATATTTGATATTTATGCTAGCAGCATAGAGTAATACGACAAAAACATTCTAATTGCATCTGAATTACTATAAATGGGAAATGCTTACAAGAATATGATTGAAGACGATAAAATTAACCACGATTAAATTAAATTCGATAAAAACAATCGTTCATCCGACTACGATTGCGAACAAAAATTTCCATAAATATTAGAAAGTATTATTTGTGGCTAACAGCGTTATTGGCTAACTCGGGCTTCATTATTAATGTGGACTACGTTTAATTTCGTAATTCAGAAAGTCCAAATGTGCATAATGGACGCCGCGCTGAACGAGCGATAATTGGTTGAAAGCTTTATCTCGATCGGACATGGTCGCTGGGGCTAAAGTAAGACGACATTCGCACAGTATGCTCGGTCTGGTATGAAATCTGCCACGTGTTGATGTAAAACAGTGCACAAGTTGCCATTCCTCAAGTATTATTTACTCCCACCTGTCCGTTATGACATTTGCTCGAAATAATCCGAAATGTTTTATTCGCTTGTATCGCGCTAACAAAATTAAAAGTAAATACTACTTTTTTTTTGTAACAGCTGAAAAAAGGCGTGTATGTACTATTACATTATGTCCCCCTGATTTCGTTTATCGCCACTCGAGTGGAAGCCTGACAAACGCAAACAAAATAAATATATATTTTAGGATGAGAAACATGATTGTCAATTAACATTGCCGGCCGATGAACTCATTCAGTAATAGTTCTCTTCAAATGTACGCAAAATATTGCTCTCAGAACAAAGTTTAAATTAAATTTCAATCAAAATTAAACATTATCTAGACGTCGGTGGCCGATTCTTTATCCAATTATGCCAGGGCGTACAATAACTTAGTCGCAGCGCAGGTGTGCTGTTGAAAATTTTCATCAAAATTGTCACGAATTTTCAGGTATACGATCCATTTAAATTCGCGCATAATGGAAACTTCGGCTATTTAGTGGAAAACTGAACTCGCAGTTTGCTGGTAATTACGCCACACATCATCTCGAGTGATGCGTAAAAGAGTGTGTTGTGTCGAACTTGAAACAAATGACGGCAGACAAGTAAAAAAGTCAATCACGAAAAATTCATTTTCATTTATTTACGTCCCGTAATTTGTTGCTATTTGGAGTGCCGCATAAACGCATTCGGCAGTTTTAACGCCACCGAAAACAACGATTAACAAATGTTCAATGTTTTTCTTTCGGTCCCGTAATTTGGTGTTATTTGGAGTGCTGCATAAACGCATTCGGTAGTTTTAACACCGCCGAAAACAACGATTAACACACGTTCAATGTTTTTTTTTTCGGTCCCGTAATTTGGCGTTATTTGGAGTGCCGCATAAACACACTCTGGCAGATTTAAAGCCGCCGAAAACGACGATTTAACAAACGTTCAATGTTTTTTTTTTCGCTAAATCGCTCTCTTTTTCCGAATCGCGTAAATCTGATTCGAATCGATCCGGAAAAGATGCGATTCGAATCGATCCGATTCGTAAATCCAAAAGTGGCATCCCTAATCGTATATAAATTGTTGGACCCTAAAGGTGTATTAAACGAAGGAATTTCAATAACCTATAAAGCCTGATCAAAATAAAACAAACCTGGTTAATAAGGCTCATTGAAAACTGGCTTCATGTCAAAATTGATAATCACTGGTACTAAATTTGATTTCTTTTTTATTTACTAATCTTATCTATAACTATTTGAACATTAAAAAAAATTGTCTTGTTCAAGAACTTATTTTTTATTTAGGTGTAGTACAGTCTAGTTATTCATGAGTGCTTTACAGCCCTTTATTTGCAAAAAGTTACTTATAAATATTAGTCATTGTTTAGATTATGAACCTTTGTTGAAATGTTAGATTTTCGTCAAGTTGAAGTTGACCCAGGTAGTAATTTCCATGAAATGTGGTGAAATTGAAGTAGCAAATTATAAATTTCATACATGATTATAGCTTTCGATACTGGATTCTATAAATAAAAACCTCAAATTGTCTGCCTTTTTTTTTAATATGCAATAGTTAATGTAGAGAACCTAGGCACACATCTGCCAAAATTATAATTCAAACCTGTAATCTTAGGAAGTTTACTATGTAATCTGCTCATACTGTTATAGATCATGTTGTCTGATAAACGAGTACCCACACAGTTTTTTTTTTTAATTTTTGGAGGTGAATGTTGACAATATTGCTTTTCATTTTTACATAAAATACATCATAGGCTATTCATTTTAGTACAATCAATATATATTATATTTCATTATTTTGCCTTCCAGAAATTATTTAAAATTATCCAATGATATATATACACAATGACTCAAATACTAGAATAAGAATTGCCTTCCTTTTGTCAAAGGTATACCGGTAATTATTATTGAGAGTCTAATTTGCTGGTAAAAATGTCGTGAATTGATGGTCAAGTTTTCTTGCTTACCAAGTTCAAAAGTTTAAATAATAAATAATCTGTTTTTTGCCGTTTTCGGTTTTAATAAATATTTTGCCAGCAATTTATATTAAATGACAGCGCACCAGGAAGTTTTATTGAATCTTTGTTGAACTATAAAGTTTTATCTTTTCAAAATTTATCACAGTATTGAAATTTCATTGTTAAAGTGGTTTCATATTATTTTTGAGCCATCTGAGTAAATGTTTGTCTATTTGCTCATATATATAGTCACCACAATAGTCTGTCTACGGCTCAGTCATTTTTCCTCGATTCTACTCAATGATAAAATATATGAAAAATTTCATTTTTTCCATTAAGCCTTCAATTTATAACTATAAATTTTTAATTTAAAATCATCAGTCAAAAGGGACCAATATTATTTAATTTCAATCGTATAGTATGATTTGTGAATGTCATAAAGAATTTATATCGGAATATTCAAAATAGGAATTTCAACCATTTTACACTCAAAATTTGACTGATGTGTAAATATCTTCACTTTTCTTTGTGTTAAAAATGGTGGTACTGGTGTACTGATGCATGATTGTTCAATAATCATTCTATGTACCTAATATTTACTTTCCCATCTTCCAGTCATACTTGTGAAACCACCTACTTGTGTGGTCTGACTGACAAGGTCAAGTAAAGTGACAACTAATCTGTATTCGTTGTAGATGAACTTTCAACTTCACTTGTTTTGATACAAACTTGGTACATCCATCATTTTCAAAAAGTTTAATTCATAGAACTTTATGCGACAGCAAGTAACACTAACAGCATTTGTGGTACATGCATATTAGAAAACACATACCACAGACGTAGTTTATTTTGGTGTGTGCATAGCAGCGAGGCATGAACTTGTTTCACTGTGTGTGGTCTAGCCATTTTATTGCATACTGACATCTCATTTTGATGAATTTATTGTCGTGTGATTCCACATTGCCAATAAGTTATCCATGGCAGATTGTTTCCCAAAAAGTTCGATTCAACTTCAATCGGTCAATTTAAGTGCTTTAGGCCTGCATGAGCAAGGTCAGTGACTTTTTTGGCAAAAGGTGACAACTAAATATTTTCTAAATAATAACAGTTTTCAAAGACCAATGACAAGACAAGGCAACAAATTGAAACAGAAATTGCAAATTTACAAGAGAAAATGGAACAAAATTTGGGTTCAAGTGAAGTTATGAAACAAAGATTAGAGGTTGGATGAAGATGATTTATTGTATTATTAATATTATTTGTTTGACATATGCATAGTAACCTTATGATAGATCTTGGGTTCGGTGGGTAGTGGTAAAAGCCTTATTTCTGACTATGATGGCATCACAAGCTAAAATCTCAGGTTCTAATCCCATGCCCACCATCTCATCTAGGGTTGGGTAAAGTGGATAGGAAATGCTGAACCGGAAAGATTACGGTTTTTTCAGGATTGATTTCTAGTATTCCAGAATATGAAATTTGTTTTATGAAAATATTTTGAAATTTTCAATTTTTATTCAGGCAAGAATCAAACAGCTTCATGATATGGATAAAGAAATAGTCAATGTGGAAAATCATATAAGAAAATTGGAAATGACGCCAACATCACCAAATACTCCTACAATCTCTGCTCAGTCTCATCCACCTAATGAAACAGGTACTAAACTAACATCTATCAGCCACAGTGGTCTGGGGGTTTGAAGCAATCTACTTAGCATCACAGGTTAATAATAGCATCACAGGTTAAAATATTGGGTCGACATTCCATTCCTAGACTTCACCAAGGATGTAATAAATTGTAGGCAATAGCGAACCAGAAAAATTTTGGTCTTTTCAGACTATAGTTACCCCTTTACCTAGCAACAGCTGCCTGTGCAGAGACTTATTCAGAGCAAAATGTTATCGACAGTCGACACGCCAAGCGCCAAAGTTAGAATTAGTTTCAAACAATTTATGACATGCTAGTTTTCTTTTAGATTTTGGCACTTGTACGAAACATGCATCGTTTATGCGAGGAGGTACTGGGTTTACTATAACTTCAACTCAAACACCCAACTCAAGTTCGGAAGGAATAATATACGAAGAAGAATTTTCATCTTGTGATAATTCAGCTTATGATTTACAAGTTTCAACCAGCAATGGAAAAACATCAAGGTATGTATCATGCTTTCTTGGTTTGTCAAATACCAGTTTAAGTTAGTTGGATTTTGTTTGTACATTTTATCTCGAATAGTAAAGGCACACATAGCGCCCAAGTTCGCTGTCCTGTAGACAACAAAGCAAATAAATGCTGTTTTTTTATTTAATTTTATTTTAATTTTCTTCTTTAGAATCGTGCAAACTATGACATCGTGTATTGCTGGTCGTATTACACAAAATTCATTGCCGGCATTATCTGAATTCACACACACTGGGATTCATCCGCATGACTCTTTGTTATTATCGAGAATAGATCCAGCCGGTCCAGGAAGTTTGGAAAGTTTACCTTCTCAGTCTGATATTGATGATACAGCAAGCATGCATAGTTTCACTACCTCACTGCCCAGGCATTTTCAATCTTCTTCAGTCGGTCCTAAAGTAAGTCTTCAAATCTTTGGTCTGATGAGTATTTGAAAATATTCCTATTCTCTTGCTATGATATGCTACACATAGAGATCTGTAGTATGTGAATTGTGAATCCTTTCATGCTTGTTATCAACAGCTGCGCCATCACATTTATTACAGAAAATTTTTGACAATAGAACAATTTAGATTATTTTCATTCTGGAAAACTGGGATCTAGTAGTCCGAGTCCGACTAAAACAATTATATTTTGATTTACTTTTGTTATGTTATTCGTAAGTTCGTATACCATTTAATTCATGCAATTTCTCTATTGAACATGAAAAATTTTAGGATTTAATTGTTTAGTTGGAGAATGTATTCATAATAATTCATTATTCGGTTTGGTCACCCTGACATAGAACTACCATTTGATATACGGTACATAATACAACTATAATTTCTTCATTTATAGAAAGACAATGTTCATTCACCAACATTTTTACAAGCTAATAAAGAAGAATTAGCTGTGAAAATTTCAAAAATGAGTAAAACTGCAGAGGGATGTTTGTCATTACGTCGTAGTGGTGGCATATCTCTAATTGTGCAGGTATGGTATTGTTGTAGATAGATCTGTATTGAATTTCCCACTTCAGATGATAATATTTTCAAATTTGATATAATATAGAATGCCCCTAGTTTAATACACTTTTTCTCTTTTAATCTGAATCTGTAATCTGAATAAGCAATAACTTGAATAAAAATTTTTATTGGAAATATTACACCATCTATCCTTTTCGTGATATAATATTGATGGTATCAGCATTCCCTGACATAGTGGGATGGTATTACTATGTTGGACAATTGTTTTTGTCTGGCATGATACTGTACTTTGTCTCATGTTGGTTTTAGCTATACGTATTTCTACATCAGTTAATAAGCCTTGTAAATAGGTATATTTACTTTACTATACCCAGTAAATAAATATTGAACATAGAAGGAATGTTTGAATGTTTTTTACAGTGGAATTTACGGTTTACAACAACATTAAAATTTATTTTTGTGCCAATATCACATAGGAAATAAAAGTAAACATCTAGAGGGAAATATTCAAAATAAATTTTCAGCTCTTTGAACAAAATTATATTCCCCTTACTGCCGATTTAAGATTAAAATTACCTACAGTAATTGAAAGTTCATTTTCCATCCATTTGACAAATAATATTTTATCGCATTGCAAGTTGGCTATGCTATGTTAGTTCATGGCAATGCTTGTTAATTAAGGACCCGAGTCGTAAACCCTGCTCTGTCTAGTCATCTACAAACATCTAGGCACCAAACTTTTCATTTAAGATGATTAAATGTTAAAGGAAATGCTCAATAATAACAAGCAATCCAAATTCTTTTTTTTTCTATTCTTGAGTGAATTTTTTCTCCATCTGAGCCAAATTGAAAAGCGCCCCTATACCAGGATAAAGAAATGTATAAATATTATGAAAATTCATTTTTATTTAACCCTTTCTTCTTTCTTGTCATTTAATTTCAGATTATTCACGATGAATCTATTTTGAGCTTGCCTCCATCTTGGTCAGTCCCATCTAGCCCAGGCTGTATCCCAGCTATGGTTGCAAACATTTTGAAATCAGCAAAAGAAAGAAGATTTAGCATGCTACAAGCACTCAAGAATATTGGTATGTATTATACCATTGGTTCATCTTTTATTTGTTTAAAATGTTAAAAAGTCTAAAATGAATTGGATGCTCGAATTATTTCCTATATCTATCAAATTAGTGTTCATATTATATTTTCTGCATTTTAAAATTCAAAGTCATTGAGTGAACATTGTCTTCAATGTTTTTCTGTCAGCGTGACGCATTTAGAATTCATTTCACATTTCATATTCAAAATTATTATTGTAAAATGTATTCGAAATAATAGATTATTTGGTTCAGGATATATTATTCTATAAAGTAAATATGTAAAGTTTGTTTTGTGTGGATATAGGTCATCTAAAGGGTGGAAAGTTGGGGTTGTTTCAGTTATTTGATGACCACTTTTATTTGTTTGCACATTCCATATTTACACTTTAGTATTATGATACTGTTGGTAAATTCACTTGCATGAAAAGACTGTAAACTCATAAAATGGAGAAATTTTTATCTTAGTAATAATAATAATGTGTTATAAGGAAAATTATTTATTTTAATAAGCTATCCGTGATTAAATTGGTTCATTCAAGTTATTTAATTTGACTCAGCTCAAAAAAATTTCAATAATACAGGGTTTTCATAAAGTTCTGTGATAATAGTTTCTTTTTAGTATGAAGTCAGTTCTCAATATATCTTAACCAAGTTTATTTTAATCATTTCGTTTCAAGTTTTGATTGAGAGATTGATCTATGACATGCGTTGTTTGCTCAACACAAGCTAGCTGTTAGTTTATTGTAACGTCATAGGCATAGATAATGAATAGAACTTAGGTATAACCTTTCAACGCAGAGGGATTGGAATTACTCTCACCTAGGGGGGGGTGGGGTATATTGAGCATATGGGGTTAATTGAGTACAAGGTATAAAAACCTCGCTAACTTTTTTGTATGTTGAGTGAATGGTTTGTACTTTGTAGCAACAATAGTTCATATCCTATGCTTCCATTTCATTGCGTATAACTCACTTGCCTACTAATGATAAAATTGTTTTAGATGTTTGTATGTGAAATTTTTTTTGTTCACGAAAAAAATTGTTTTGGAAACTTTCACGTGACACTTTTCTGATAGTATATTTTAAACTTTTTGTGATGCCTTTTAGTACCTTAGTAAAGACTCTCTCTGCCCCAGTAGATAATTTTTGTGTAACACATTGACTTTTTGTTTCATTGATGTTTGAAAAAATCGAGGTAAATTGAGTCTGTCGGAAATTTACAGTGGGGTAAATTGGGTATATGCATAAATGGCCTCTCCCACTGCTATAACACAGGATTATGAGGTTCTGTGTGACTATTTTGAGCCCTAACACTTTTTTGTAGCCTTTATCATGTCAATCTTTCAATATAGGCTTCTATATTTCATGAATATGAGTGTAAATCCACAATGGGCAATCGTCGGATTTTGAGAAAGCAGTTCTTTTCTTGTAACTAAAAAAAAATAGTAAAAGAAAGCTGTGGACAAGCCAAGCACAGAGTCCTACTCCACCAGTAAGCTTAGTGCATTTACAAAGGCTTTAGTTGACGTAATCACACTCACTGTCATCTCCGAAAACATGTAGTAATAATAAAAAAACAGCCGCCCCAGAAAAAGAATTCAGGCGAAAACTATATAATGTCAGTTGAAAGTATATACCATTATACTGATAGGATAGACTTAAACGGATATGATTGGTAGAAAAAAGAAAAGCAGCAAAGAGAAAGATCATAATATTAGTTCAGAAAAGCAGTAACAGAGTCAGAATTAGATTGGGCTTTATTGACGATGAGACAGAATATGAAACAGAATTCTCACATTGTACAGCTGATTATAACAGAGGACTAACTACAAGTAGCATATTCTGACATTAATGAAATTAAGACCTTGACTGGCTGGTTGAAATACGGGGAAAGGGAATTCCTTGGCCAAGTTGTCCTCACCAATGTATATAAAATGAACTTTGTATGATACCAGTGTATGAAAGAGCTCAAAGATTTTGTGTTAGATTTAACCCAAAATAGGAACATAAAAAGTATCTCTATCAAGGAAGTTGTTGGCCAAGTCAAACCAACCATTTCTAGTCCATAGTGAACTCGTATTTAAACTAAAAGCCTATTTGTGGTAAAAAGTTTATGGAAACCATAATCGCGATCTATCATACCAAGTTTAAAGTGATGTCAGATAATTATGTTCCAAGGTTTTTGTAATTACTATTTTTTTAAATAAACTATATGTACCCAAGTTTCTCATGAAGGTCTTTGATTTGGTTCTAGGGCTTTCTTAGATTTGATTTAACTGGTAGATGTCAGTATACTCAATTATCCTCGAAAAATGAGGTAAATTGAGTATACTTACTTCCAAAAAAAAATTGCATTTTAAGGTGACTTGAATACATTGAATAAGACTCAAACTGTTATGCACGGAAGTACAGGGTCAGAATGTTACAATGAAACCATAATTTCACAGAGAATCGATTTCACTCAGATTTTACATCGGTTCAAATGTCAAAAACTACTCAAATAGCCCCCCCCCCCCCCCCTACCAGATTAATCTAAATTAAAAACTCGTTTCGGGGGCCGCACACCATTCAAAATTGGCACTTCTTTGTGTGCCGCACAATTTTTCCTTGTGAGCCGCATTTGGCTCACGGGCCGCAGGTTGCACACCCCTGACTTTTATTATATCGATTAGTATGAACCTTTGGTCCAAATTTGAGGTACAAAGATGGTAAACAAGTTGGATTCTAAGGTATTTATTACTATTCTTTTATTATCTTTTCAGTTCATTGTACAACAGACATGAGAACGAAAATTGAGGTTGTGGTTTTCAACCATCTGGAATTTATTCAAGGATATTGTGAACTGCTATTTGAATTTTGGGTCCATGCTCAAACTTTGCAGAAAAAACCTGATTATACAAAGGTAAAAATAAAATGTTTATTATTTGTGAATTTTAGTTTGGCTGTCATGGCTTATACCTGCCAAGTCACAGTATTTTGCCACGATAACTGTAGGGCAGATGCGATAACATTCTATAGAGAAATTTCATTTTTCATTCTTAGTTTTAGTAAAATAATCTCAAATATTACGCAGCCTTCTCGTTATAATACAGTTATTGTAAATATGTGGTAGTTTTGCGTTTTGAATTCCAATGCATTTGATTCTGTGTTATAAATTTCCACAATCTGGCATTTTTCCTTTTTAATAATGTAAAAATGTAATTTTTAATTTCTGATACCTATTTTAGAATATTTCAAGCCCAAATTCTGTTAATGGACACACAGAGAATGGAAAAGATGTCGCAATATCTGATATTAGCAATAATATTAACAAAACATATGATTTCAAAGCTGGACTGGTTATGGTTTATGATTTTCCTGTGTCAAGAATAAGCACAATCATGAAACTGTCTCATAACGAGGCAACAAGAAGGTAATTGCTTATGACTCGTAGCTCAATGGAACACTAGCTGTAATAAGGGGGTCAATTTATCTGTTCTATTGAATTAATTATATTTTGAATAAAGTTAGGGACGTAGGGCCAACTAGATATGGAATCTGATCTATTCAATTTTTTATGTTGCGTTCGCTCCGAACTAATCTATGTATGAGCTATTATTGATATTGAAAGCTATTTTTTAGAAAAACATGTTTCTGGTTTGGTATAGCTCACATGATTAAGTACATTCTGGTTGAAGTTGTGAACATAGGGTACTGTTTAAGTTTGAGGTCACAGTTCTGCGATGCTTATATAGATAAGTCCAACTGCAACGCCATCATGCCTACTATATTAATGATAAAGCTATATTTGATTAATGATAATAATTCAATTATCAGTCCCATGCCATGAAATATTAATTTACTTCTCGTTTCAAACTCTATTTTATCCCTTTTTAGCATTCCTGTAATCAACGAGTTAGGAGGTTTATTTGTTGTTGCTGAATTGTTTATATTACACTGCCGATGCACTGCATTCATTGATCTTGTACAATCAACTGTTGGTATCGAACCTCCTAGTCCTGATGTTGTTCAACTTCAATTACTACGAAGATTTGTTGGATTCGCTTTGATAAATTTGACTTTTGGAGATGTTACAAATAAGGTATTATTTCTTTTATTTGAGTGTCCGAATTTTCAAACATGTTGCAAATTCCTTAGGTAGGTGTAGTTACAACAAAATATAAAATTTGGTCTTTTATTTTAAATATCATTACTTGCACCTGGAAAAACTTGTTTTTGAACGATCATAAATTAATTGGTGATTATTTTGACATTTTTTACAGGCGACTTTGATTCAGATGCCTGGATTGATTGACACGGTTATGGCACAGATGAGTATTGAATCGGAAGAAATGCAACAGGTATATAAATAAACTCCACAACATTCTCTGGTATTTTTTGGTGGTATAAATTCATCTCAGTCTAACTATGTTGTGGATTCGCAGGTCAAAATTCTCCTTTTCGTTCCTAGTTTATTTTTAAACATATATCTCAATACTCCCAGAGCCAAGTTGTCTTTGTTTGCCACAATGAATTCTTAGCAAGCAAGTTCATAGCAAGGTTTGGAACAATATTTACTATTACTTAATTCTCTTATATGAGATGTCTGTTTTTTTTATTTGTACTTAGAGTTTCCAGTTGACTGTACAAACTTCCCTCCTTCCACGACACATTTATTTTTATAATACAGGTCATGGCACATTTAAAAGAAAATGTGACTTTATGAAGATTAATAAATAATATCAAATAAAGGTTCTATATGCATATTTCTGTTTTCATTGTGATATGTTAGCTTATTTTTGTGCACATAAAAGGTTGTTGAATGTCTAATAAACCTAGCCACACTTTTGTCTCAACAGTAATCTTTAACAGATTTGATTATTTTATATCAAGTTCTAAACAGGATGGAATAATAATAATTTGAACTTGATTTCCATGCTGAAGGCAGGGTGGATCGATTATCTTAAAGCAGGCTATTTTTGGTATTACTGTGGTTACACCTATTCGTGATACCTGATCTTTGATATCTAGAAATTCAATACTTAATTTAATTTGAGACACTTTCCTGTTGGCATTCGTACCCTTTAACCATTTTACCTAATCTTAATGAAATTCCTGTCTGCTATACGATCCCCTAGGAATTTATCATTTATGTATTTGACATATGTTAACTGATATTACAACGAAAGTCACGAGCAGTTCAGTGCACTCTGGTTACCCTTGTTTATCTGTGTTATTAAATTTGTCAAGCAATGGCATCTGTCTACCTTATTCAAAATTTATGTAATTGTTCTCCACAGAGGGTACACAAGGTTTCTTGTGTATTGAACTACAAGTCCTTTCTCCTTGTCCACTTCATATTTCAAGTCCGTTTGTGGCAACTGGAAGTTGTCACAGAGATACTTAAACAAGATAGTAGTAAAGTTATGACAACTTAATTAATCGTTCTTAGTTGTGATTTATAGCAGGGGTGTGTAAAATTCGGCCACAAGAAAAAATTGTGCGGCCAGCAGAGAAAAGGCAATTTTGAGTGATGTGCTGCCCGTGAAACGAGTTCTGGTTTAATCTGCTGCATGCGAGTAATTCCAATTTCTAAGCCGATGATGTTACAATGACCTAACAGCTTGTGCAAAGCGAAAAACGCATGTCAAAAAATCAATTTTTGTGCCTGCAACCACCAGTAAGCCTATGTTAAATTAAGGTACATCTCGCGGTTCCACCCAGTTATTTGTATGTGGCCCTTCTGTATTAAAGGTTGCACACCCCTGATTTATAGAATAAAATTTACAATAATTTATAGATTAAGAAAAACTAACACCAAACAGTTTACTGTCCTGATTACCCATGTTAAACAAATGTCCAATTGAGTTTGTTTAAATTTGTTTAAGTTTGCTAAACTGACTTTGATTAATGAATGAGAAGTTCTAAATAACTATTTATGTAGTTTATGTGTGTAAATGTATATAAAATTGGATTTTCTCCTTTTTTGCATAAAATACGCCTGTCGTTCAAAAAAATTACTGTTTTAAAAAAGTCAGACAAAATGTTTGAATTCAAAACTTTATTTTGAAAAGATTTTTCAAATGTCAATAATAATACTCAGTCATTTGCGCTATATATTATTACCCATAACAGAGGCAGACATGAAAATCCTAACCTATAATCTTGAAATACTATTGTGCCACCATATCTCCTATAAGGCATAATAAACAACAGTTTAGCAGACCATAAACTATTTTACTACCTAAACCCACAATCTTGTTTTGTATACATAAATTTTTAACTAACTTCCAAAGAATTTATTGCTCTAACAGTCAATTGCTTTACGATGTCTTTTTGGCAGATGGTTCTCCTTTCTTGACAGAGTTCAATTACATAGCATTATGCATGAACTAATGGCCATTGGGAAGAATGCTACCAAAGATGCAGCATTCACAGATGTCCCACCCATAATAAAACTCGATATTGATTTCTGTCGTCTTTAATATTTGATGCCTTCGTGTACTAACTTGCGTTGTAACGTTCCCCTAATTTTGACCTCAAGAATGTTTACCCATTGACTTGAGCAATGCTGTAAAGATATTGGAAATACTGTTTAGCATTTTGATTTCCCAAAACACTGAAATTTGTTTGTTTCAAAGGTTTATTTATGTAATATTTACTTCTAAACGAGCTTTTCTACATCCGAATACATTTTAATAAAAGCCACAATTTCCATTTTTTCGTATAAAAATTTGTGTCAAACTGTCAACCCACAAAATTCTAATCAATGAAATAGCAGAATTACCGTAATATCCGACTATTAAAATTAAAATATATAATATTAATTAATTTATTTGTGGAGTTTAAATTCAACTTTTTAATTTGCCTGACGAAGTAATACACAGCGTGAGTAGGTGACCCAAAAAAAAACTCATAAATTTTTGGCCATCTCTGTTTATTTTCATGTCCTAATTTATTATGTTTTCTCTCCGAAGAAGGCCCTAGTAACCGCTTCAGACATATGGTATTCAACTTTCCCTATTTATGATCATTATGTTTATACTTATCAGCAGAAATATACTATAAACCAAGCATAAACTTTATCACATACCGGAAATTTCTCCTTGGATAATTCCACCTCAGGGTGCATCTGCATAATACCTCGATACAATTTGTTGTTTAGTGTTTGTATAATGTTTTTGTAATCCTGATTTATTATCCTCACTAATTACACCTTAACCTTTGTAACTCACTCTGAGATGGATTTTCTGCATTTTTTTGGTTTTTACACTATATATGCAAATTGTTAATAACTTTAGCATTGAAATTGGGTTCACAATGTGGGAATTAAAGATTGTCCTAAGTAACCGTATAATATATTCCATATCTTCTCTCGCTCAATGTTTGGCTTAGCATAGTGAGAATGAAGTTTTATTATCAAATAATATTTTTTAATCAAATTCCAAAATAAGGTTTCCTTATCACTTTGTTCACATATTACCATTCCAGTGGTTAGCTCATTAATTCTAATGTACATGTAGGATAGTCCTGGCCAGATAGGCCATTGTTCAACCTAAGCTGAGAGTCCCACCGAATTTGTCTGAATTTTGATAGGCTATACCAGAGGTGTGCAACAGTTTTTGTCTGTGGGCCATATAACCAACTTCAAACAACTAGCCAGGCCGTACAAAAAATGATGTGGGAAAGGCAAGTAAAGAGAAAGGGACTATTGCTTAGCCTTACAGTGAAAGCACCAGGCAAAGCGGTGAAAGATTCAACGCAGCCCAGAGCAAAAAAAATCGAATTAGGATTTTATGCTCGATGGCAAAAATCTGAGTGCATACAAGGGCCACACTGGATGGCTTGGCAGGCTGGGTTGTGGCCTGATGGCCGCCAGTTGCACACCACTGGGCTATACCAAACTGAAAAAATTTCCTCTCAAAACCCGGAATATATTCCTACGTCCATATGAATTTTTTTATATTCACGAAAGTGTGGAACATATTAATAAAGAATAACATATTTTTCAAAGTTTTTCGATAGAAATTTTCTAACATTGGAAATACCCCTTTTTGAAAACATGAATACAATATTTACATGACAATATTTTCCGTGGTAATGAAGTTTTATTTTCTTTCTGCAGGTGATGGCAAAACTGGTGAGAAATCTTTCATGGCAACCTGATGAAAAATGCCAGGATATACTGAGACAGAAAAACCTTGTTTCCGTGTTGATGAAATGTGCATTGAAATCGAAACGAGAGGATACACTGAAAAGTGTTCTCAGTGCATTATGGAACTTGTCTGGTCATTGCCCAGAGAATAGAACAAGCATATGTTCAGTAAAGGTACTTATTTGCTTATTTAATTTGTATGACTCAGAGACGCTGATAAATTCTAGTACGCTAGTTTTTGTATGCAATACAATTTGATGAAACTAGATTATTGGTATTCGTTTTTTTTTAAATGTCAAACTTTTATCAAATTCATCTCTTCAGCTGCGTTGGGGGGAAATATCGGGCGTAGGACATAGGTTTTGAAGCTTTGTTCTGTTTTCAGGGTGCATTAGCTTTCTTGGTATCTACACTGACATATCGAACAACAGATATTATTGAAAGTGGTGGAGGAATTCTGAGAAATGTCTCAAGTGTTGTTGCCACTAATGAAGAATATAGACAGGTAGTCTTTATTTTCAGAAAAAAAATACACATTTCATTTTTGATTCATAAAATTAATGTTAACTAATACCGATATGGATCTATTATCAACTCCTAGATTGATACAACTATTTGTTTGCATGCATTTACGATGGGTTGCTTTTGTCAAATCTGTTTCATCCAACATTATTAATGGAGATTGGAAACTGCCGACCTATTTCTAACATTTGCTAAGTTTCGCAATTGTGCTAAAAATTGAGAGAATTCAAACTCTCATATTTTAATAATGCATCGAAACTGTTTTTGATAACACCTGAACAATATTAGGAAATTGAATAAACTCTTATAAATTTTATTATTCTATAGTACACACATAGAATATGTGAGGTGATCTAAATATTTGCTTGAATCTCCAGATTCTCCGTGATAAAAATTGTCTTCAAATATTGCTAACCCATCTGAAAGCAGCAAGTCTCACTATTGTCAGTAATGCTTGTGGAACTCTTTGGAATTTATCTGCAAGGTCAGTGATATAAGTTGTATTGCGATATAGTTTTCCCTTCCAGTCCAACAATGGTGGCAATGTCAATATGAAGTGATTTTGATCCTTCTAAAATAAAGTAGCAGTAGATATTTGTACATAGTCTTGTTGGACTGAACTGCATATAAAAAGTGTTGTAAGAAAGGTTGATATTGGTGTTTAATTAATTTTTTTAATAATTTGTATTCTTATTTAGTATAATTTGCATCAGTTGCTATTCTCGAAAAATACATATTTGTGTTCGATAAATTAGCTATGAATCATCTGTGATGCTAATATTAGTCTCATTTCACTTAGGCAAAAGCAATACAGAATTATCCGATTTTGAAGCAATTACTCTTTTGAGGCAATGTTATCTTATCTGAAGAAGGGTCTGATCTCATTTTTATTTGTTTAGAAATGCCCAAGATCAGAAGTTACTGTGGGATTTAGGTGCAGTGCCGATGTTACGAAATCTGGTTCATTCCAAACACTCTGTGATCGCACGAGGAAGTAGTGCAGCGTTGCGAAATCTTATCTCTAACAGACCAGGTTCAGCGGCCGGGCCTGAATCAGAGAAAAGTGAAACTGTGAAGTTGAAGGTATGCCTTGTCGTTACCCTCATTAATTAATGTTTGACAGTGTTTTTACTCATAAAAACTTGCAGTCACCATCACCAATAGCCAAAATTGAATGATTTTACTTTTTAAGACAACCCTGTTCTGTGGATTTATCCTGACTTTATCCAGGTAATCCTGAAATGTTGCGAATCGCAGATGCGCTGAGCCATATTTATTTTGTAATGAAATTATTCGTGTATTTTTTTCCAAAAATCAAAAATAACGGATAAAAAAGCAGCTGCTGACTGTTGGAATGAAAGATTCAATTTATGTTTTAACTATTATAAGCAGAACAGCACTGCAAAAATGCCGCTTCTAATAATTTCAAGTCAAAATGTAAATTCATTTAAAAAGTATGTTTTATTGCTTTTTATGATGTTTAATTTTATATTTGTTTTAGGCAAGGAAACAAAAAACTGGGGAATCGTATGATGGCAAAAAGAACTTACCAGAAATTGAAAAATTTTCACCTAGACATCATGCATGGTCCGGAGCTAAAGATAAAATGATGTCACCTGGTTCTGTAATAAGCCCACAGAGACATAGTATGCAGGTATTGAGTGTGTACTATGCTGATATATTTACCATTATTAGCGTTTTTCATACCCATAGCAGTTTTAGGTCTTATTGACCAATTGATCTTTGACAACTAAGGTTCCGTAATTAAGGATGTTCATCGTCTGAAATTGAATAATAATTTTAGGTTCTTCTACTTTGTTAACTGGTGGAAAATAATAATGAAAATAGCGAATACAAGCATTAAACAGTATTTCCCCAATCAGTTTGTCTGACAGAAGTGACAGTTTTTAAGCAATATTTCTCAAAAGCAAGGATTCAATAAATAGTCCATTTCCCAGGCATAAATATTTTGTTTTTTTGCTACTTTGTGAAGTGGTCAATAGGATGACAAAATCCTAATTATATTGATTTGGGTGATTGATACACCAATCAGCTATGAAAAATTTACACCTCATTCCTTCACATCATTATTTATTTTAGGAAACCTCCAGTTCCAGTCCTGTGCCTGATTTGGAGAGAGGAAGGCGATTTCAGAAAGGCGGTTTGCATTATTCCGGTAGCCTTGGAAATCTTCCCACCGACTTCAACAGCGAAAACTTTTCAAAATCTCAAAGCAATGGATCCAAATATATTTCCTCTGCTAGAAATAGTAATTCTTATCCAGACCATTATTCATCAAACTCCACAAACAATAACATTGCTTTTAGAAATGCAACAATGCCTAATACAAATCAGATTCGAAGTGGTAAAAACATTCCCGGTTTTACACCTGTTGCTGCCGCCGGTGGAATGTTAAAAAACGTCATGATGTTTAATGATCAGATGCTGCAGTCTGCTCAAACACCCGGACAACAAGCTACCAATTCACCGCAATCTAATATTTCGCTCAGACAATATTTTCAGCTCATCGCAGGGAAAAAACCATTACCACCATCAGTAGGTAACGGTCTTGGAGCATCTGAACAAAGCCCCTCGTACATGCAAAACGCTGGTGGGTTTGGGGGTAACCCGTCAAATACAAACATGACAACTCACTTGTATAATGTACAAAACATCCCGAATGTACAAAATCAGTTTTATCCTGGTTCTGGACATTTGGTAACCCCGGGAGCAACCCAGACACGAATTCCGCAGTTACAACAAGCAGGTGGTCAGCTGACGGTTCCGCATCCGCAAAGAATGCAAAAATTAATGCAGAATACTATGACTCCTAATAAGCCTAATGTTTTACCCAAATGTACAGAAGATTTAGTCAGACGTTTACAAGATGTGGAAGAGGATTATGACAATGATGACGGCCCTGTCAACTACAGTTTGCAATATGGAGATGAGCATATGACGCCGGGTATACAAAGCCCAAGAACTGAAGAAATCTACGAAACTGCTGCTATTGTTAATCAAAATTCAAGAACAAGACCAACTATACATGATTCTCATTCCAATTTTATGCATACTGGCATACCATCTGCATCTATGAATGGCCCTGTTACTAAATCTGATGGTGGCTTATCGGGCCTCAGTTCATGCATTGGCAGTACCGGAAGCAGTGCTCAGCAACGTCAAGATGCAAGTAACAAAAGACTTGCAACTGTAGTATCAAGTGAACATCCTGTTATTGATAGATCAAATCCATCGTTACCTGCTGCATATAACAGCTTAAGATTTGATAATGATCTAGATTTTGATGATGAGAAACCAACAAATTTTGGTGCCATGTATTCTGAAGAACAACTTTATGAACCTATACAACATCAATCGATGGGTATGATGCCGTTTTCAGAAGTCGATCAACCACCTTATCCAACAGCGGACCAAATGAAAACCAATCTCAACATGCAACAGACAACTGCTACGAACAATTGTCAATCCACAAGTGAGGCAGCACTGGAAGGCAAAGAACAAGATGATAAGTTTGATACTGGTGCTATCACTCCCGGCCACTATTTTGGTAATTACAAATCTGGAAGAAATAGCGGGATAATGACACCCAGAACACCGATGTATGAAGATACCCCGATGATGTTCAGCAGAGGGAGTAGTTCTTTGGGATCTGTCAGCGACGGTGAATCCATACACAGTTCCATTACAAGCGAACCAGGATCTCGAATGCTGAGTGGTCGTGTATCTCCAAGTCATTTGCCAGATAGTCCCAGTCAATCGATGCCTGTGAGTCCACGAAGATCACCTCGACCACGAACGCCAGTGGAACCTCCTGACGATGATTTTGATGAGTCATCTGAAAAAACACTTGATTTACCTACAACTGGAATGTTAGTAAATAACTCTGTGAATAAACCGCCAATGTCTGAGCGAATTGAAGATCGTCTATGTAAAATTAATCAGCCTGGGTACATTACATCTGTTCCTAATAAAGATGAAATGAACGTTTATCGATCTGAAGGTGCCATGTCTGTAATGACTAAATTCAGTGATCTGACCATTGACAGCGGCGATAAAATTCATCCTCTGGAAAATGATCAAGGGGTCTTGAGTAAAGTACAATCACCAACAGGGTCAAGAGCTTCTTCTGTTAACCATGCCAGTGATGTTCAAAGCAACTCTGATAACAAAATGGAGAATTCTGATTGTGCGGATAGGAATCATTCAGCTCGCACTGATGAAGACTTTTTCCACCCAGGACAACGAGCTGTGCGTCATGCTGGTTACATTACATCGTTGCCTACAAATGATGAAATTAAAAATTTCGTGCATGAAGGCACACTTTCACCAATGACCGCTTTCAGTGAAATCAGTGGTTTGCAAGAAGATAACCGTGGTTTTCAAAAAAGTACCGGTAGTGTGTTTTCTGTTCCAAATTCTTCAAATTCCAATAAAGTTGGACCTCGATCGGTTGCATCAAATAAAAATTCATTTGCAAGTCGTTCATCTGCAACTGGAGCCTCTGTGCCACCTCCTCCGCAGACATCAGGAAAGGATGTTGTAAAGGAGGGAGACCAGGAAGAAGGGGATTCAAAAACGTCAAGACATCCGTCAAATTTTTCAAGTGTAACAAGCCCTACTTCTCATTCTATTAATGGTGCTGACGAGGATCTTGGTGACGATTCCGACAGTCTTCCCAGTTCATCATCGGACGATGATGATTTGTTACAACAATGTATTCAGCATGGTCTTCCGAAAAAAAGATCATCTCAAAAATCAATAGGTCGTAGTTCGTCATCGAAATCATCTAATCGTAGTAGCAGGTCATCTCGTTCGAAAGATAAGTCCAATAATTCTCTTCCAACTCATTCTGGCAATAGTCAGGTTTCGCATGAGGAAAAAGAAAAGAAACAGCAAGAAGATCGTCGAGTTACAAATCCGTCACCTGAAGTCGTAGCGGAGCGCAAAAGAATCGACATAAAACAGAAAATTGAATCTGCGAATCAAAAATTAAACGGAGTACACATATTGGAATACATGGACAATCTTATGATGAAAGTGGATGATACTGATAAACCTGGAACGTCACATAGTACTTCTAAGATGAAACAAGTTATCGACAGTGCAGAGAAATTACAGCAAAGCTATAGCGTTAGGAAAAAGATAAAAGAAGATGAAAAGCACGCAAATTTAACAGAAAAATCAAATTGTGATTCACCAAACCACTCTACCACTATGAAAATGCCCAAGACTACAGGCTTGCTGCCTTTAGAACCCCCACTCCAATTGCAGTCAAAAATGAGAATTCAATCTTACATTCGTGAAGGAATAACAAGTTATGCTACAGAAGGAACCCCGATAGAAATGTCAAGAAGTACTTCTCTGAGCAATTTAACCATAGACTCGGAACTTGGGGATAACATGGATATGACAGGAATAAAGATGATTAGGACCTCACATTCTGTGTCGGACATTAAAGACTCTTCAAATGAGATTCTATTCGGAAATACTGAAGGTGTTTCCTCGCAAAAACCTGTTAGCAGTGTTCCCATGCATGTACGAAGTACTAGTTTAGGTAGTTCAAACTGTTCATCTCCTGTTACCAAAGACAGTCGCGAAATCTTAAAAGTTCTCGGACAACAAATCGCGGATTTGAGTCTTTCAACAGCGGAATCTGTAGTGAAGGATCCAGGATATACAACTTCACTTCCTCACACTGACGAAATATGTAAATACGAGGCTGAGGGTTCACAAGGTGGTGGGACAATATTTAGCGCTCTGACCATTGACAGTGACACAAAAATCGCACCTACGATTCCTAAAGATGATAATACAGCACAGCCCAATTATCCACAAGAAACCAATGTTTCTGAAAAAGCATCTCCCGATGAATTACAAGAGGCAAAAGTTCCATCTGCAATACAGAGAAACAATTGGATTAATGATAATTCGTTAGAAGTAGATGACAATCTTTCTGCTTTAAACAGTCGGGTTAAAGAAAACGATTGGCAACAACCATTGATAGCGCCGCAGTTCAATTCTCATTATAACAATGAGAATGACAATCTGGCCATGAAAGAAGAACAGCGAAAATACACAGTATGATCTTATACATTTCTGTTTTTATAGATTATTCCATATATAAACGTGGTTTTCATTTTGCTACCTCCTATCAGCAAAGTAAACAACTAAGGTGGTGGTAAGGTCTATAGCAAATCATAATTTAATACAATTTTCGACCATATTAGCTAGCAATTGTGTATCTATATTGAAAAGTCTGAAAATAACAACGCAATAACATGTTAATTGAACTACTACTTTTTTTCCGAATTTAACGAATTTATCCAATCTGAAGCAACCTTGTAGAAAAACATGGCCTGTGTTTATTAAATATAGAAATTACAAAAAGTACAGAATTAATAACAGGTGCAGTAGCTAAAGTTGCACTTGAATCAAACATCTTTTCTTGCTGTTCCATGATATTTTTTATTCTTAGATTGAAGATACGCCACTATACTTAAGCGGTCCTGGATCCCTGAGTTCTTTAGATTTTGGATCTGATGATGACAATGAATTACTAAATGCATGTATAACATCAGCATTGCCTGTTGATAAGAGAAATGCTAATCCACCTCTTCCTGTAAGTTCGATTCAAATGTACGGTTTTCTGACATATCAGATTCAATTTGAGACTGTATGTACTCTTGTCTTCAAAATTCTAACAATTCACCATGTTCTTTTAAAAAGTAATTCTATTGTGTTTAGTGTGCTTGTTTAGTATTATTATAATACATATTTATGCACACATTATAACTAATCAAACTATGCAAAATTCTGCATATGATGTGCTTGTATCTCTAGCTAATCATACTTTATTGATGGAACAAACAACTGAAACCGTTTTGCGCTTAGTCGGGGAGAAATAAACAGATCCAAATTGGGCATAGGGAGGATGGTATCGAAAAAGGTTGAGAACTATTGGTTCAAGTGTGTATGTTGAACACATAGGAGGAAAGATGAAGCTAAAATTGTAAAAGATATTGTAGATTTGTGGCAAAATGTGAAATGCTTGCATTGTTGGTTGTCTCCACCTATAATAGCATTATTTTGTAAGCAAGTGAATAGTGAAGAAAAAATTAATAATGTTACAAATGTACAAGAGCAGTGAATTCTTTTTCGTAATTACTCTCCCAAATCATTTAAATTCTTTTCTGACGTTTTTTTATTCATTGAACCGTCTCCCTCATTTGTAGAGTCAAATACTCATGATGCAACAACAGTCAAACAACACTGATCCTCATGCTCGAATAAATCACGGTGTTCCTGATGGAAAAGTTGATAGTCCAACTTCTCAGCAAATACCTTTTGTTATCCCAACATTGCAACAACAGAATTATTCAGACAGACTGCAGGTATGGTAGAAACAAGGGGGAACACTACTTTTTTGTGGAGTGGTGCTTGGATTAGTCATTAGTTTACACTGTTATCCTGGATCTCCTATAAGCAGACATAGAATATTAAGCTGTTGACATGTGAGAGATTACTTGCTTCTTCTATTACTACTATTTCAAATTTTAGACAAGGAAGATGATATTTCACCCTAAATATTGTGACTTTTTTCTAATTCATGGATACACTTCCACATGATATTTTAAGGAATCTCTTAAAATTTTGAAACCCCACTCCACATACACAAATAAAAATGATTAACTCTAGCATTCCCCTCCCCAATTTTATTCTTCCATTTTTTAAATATAATTTTAAACTCTAGAATGTTTTACCCTGATATTCAGTCATCTGAAATTGTGAATCTTAAACATAATAGCGTGAAGAGAGGAGTTGACTTTGATGACCGTCTGGCTGTATCACTCCCTCTTGTCTATAGCAAACTAATTTATTACTTGTTATCATTTTTATTATTACAATGACTGTTATTTTATTTTGGTTGGCGAAAAAATAAATCTCTCTCTTTCAACATTGCACTGCAAATTATTTTAGTTCTATGTCCATATATTTTAGTTTGAACATTGCATTTTTATTTTATGCATTTATCATTTTTCAACAGATGAATCTGGATCCTAATATTTCTTCGTCATACATCCAGTCGCCGAATGATGAACAATGGTCACTCATTCAACGTGATGCAGATGCCCTAGCTGTACGTCTGATGCAACAATCTAATCAACAAACATCTACTGATCGAATGAAGTACTCTCAGGATATGCCTTTAAGTTCCAGTGTGTCGCTGTCTCAACCTACAGAGGGATTTTATAGATTGTCAAGGCAAGCTTCGATGCAAGATTCAGATCTGTCGGTCAGTTCTTCAGTGCTTGGCGAACGCCATTCCTATGATGTTTCTGCTAATCGAGTAAAATCACCACATGATAACGCGATACAAAATCGCTCTTCGGGACCGAAACATCAAGGTGATAAATTACCAAATCGGTTAAAAACTCAAAATGAAAGAAGCTCTAAAACTGATAAAAAGTATAGCCCAAGAAAAAGTAAAGACTCAAGTGCAGTACGTCGTACTAGAAATCATCCATCTCATGCTAAGGATAGTTCTTCAGGCAGCTCGTCCTCGTTTAGACAACCACAGCATCGGAATCCTAGCAGCAATACAAGAGGCGGGGAAATGTGTGGTTGTCATGGTTCCAAGCCTCGCTATTATAACCACGGCCCTGTTTCTGCATCAACCAGTCATTTAGTTGACGGAGTCAAATCTCCAAGTTCAAGACCAAGAAGGAAAAGTACTAATTCCGCTTCAAAAAACTCAATGGGGGGTTATGAGCATGTATCACATCATCACCACCATCAGCAAAAACCAAGTCGGCCCAGAAACCAAACTAAAAACTTTTATCACCCCAGCGTGACTCAACTTTACCCACCTCTAAAAGACATGGTGGGGGTTTTGGAAGGAGTCGCTTCTGTTGCAGCGAGAGGAGATAAGGTGGTTGCTGACAGAAATCCATCCCAATATTCTGGTAACCACAGCAGCCAACCTTTGAGCAAAAAATCTTCAAGCTCCTCCTTAGTCCGTTCTGCAACATTTATCACAGAAAAACCGAGCCAAGTTTTATTGGAAAACATGACTCAAGAAGAGAAAGATCATTACACAAACAGTTCTATGTCTTCTTCTGTTTCACCGTCCCAATCTCAACATTCTTCTCGGAGTGCTGGAAACCCTAGAACAAGATCTCCTAACAGTAGTTCCCAAAGTCTCAAAACACAGTCACGCAATGCAGTCTCTCGTGGTAGCACTCACAGCCTTAAAACCCATTCCACTATTACTAAAGAAACTACAAAGCAGAAAGGCAAAAAGAAAAATCCACCTGCTGGACAAGCCAAACCAAAGCATAATAAAGTGTGGAGTGGAATAAAAAAGCTTCTTTCACCCAGTGACGATGCGTCTAAGACTCCTGTTAACACCATCCCTAGTAAGAACAGCACACCTTCAAAATCCAAACAGAAAAAGGATGCAATAAAGGGGGTTAAAACACCAACTAGACATGTTAAAAAGTCTGCTTCTGAGAAGCTGCCAATTTCCAGTGAGAAAAAAGTGAAGCAGTCTAGTAATATGAGAACAAATGAAAGTGGATCTAGTCTTTCATTGTCTAGCAGTAGTGCAAGTAACGCATCAACTTCAGACATAGAAGTCACAAGTTCTGCTAGCACAAAGATGCAAGGTAATGTTACTCCATATGGACTTTTACCTAAGTCTCCGTCAGTGAATGCAATAATGCGTCGCACATTGTCTACGAATATTCCACAGAGCCGTTCAACAGGTATTCTGGATCAGTCAAAAGCACAAAAACCATCTGGTTCTTCAGTGTGGAGGCGAACGCCACCGAAAGTGCAACCAGCTCTAAAACACAGCAAAGTTCAGAATTGCACACTCGTAGCGGCACACGAAACGACACGTCAAAAAAGTTGATTTCAAGTGATCAGCAATTTATCAGTATAATCGAAAGCAACAATAGAATCTGAAAATATTTGGGTTTCAAAAAAGGATTTAGCAAACCTGCAGCATGAGTATTCACCTCATTCTGTAACAACAAAGTCGAAACTTCCAATTCCACAAGGTCAGAACCCAATACAAACCAGTGATGATGCTATATCAGAGGTATAGTGTTGTTTTGTGTTCTGTTTGTCGGCTGTCATATTGATGAACTGTGAATAATTACTCTTTATTTTTACGAAATGTATCAACTGCCAACTGCAACTGAAAAAACCTGTTCTTATTCGTTTTCATTACCCTACTTCAGAGTATGCGAAATCATGATGCACTTCAATAAATCATTCATAGTAAAGAAATATAATATGTGAAGTTTAATATGGCTTGTCGTTCATAACGTGACTGCATGTTCGTTATAGCAACTCATGCTTTTCTCATAACGTTAATTTCAACAGATTTGGGCATTAATTGTGGTAGATATAACAGTTTTTCAAAAAAATGGATTGATATGTCAAATTGCTATCTGAAATTATCTTATGGAGCACACTTGGGAATAACTACTGCTCAATTTAATCCTGGTGTTGCGATTATAAATATACTTGTCCATGTATATTGACATTAAACACTTCCATTCATAATCTGCCCTGCTGATCGCTTTTTTTCATCAAGAATTTCCCAGAGCAACAAATAATCTAACAAGAGAAATATAGTATGGAAACGTAATTGACACAATAGGAACTAGACATAAATTTGTTAATGTTGTTATGGAAACTGTAAATAATGTTTGATAAAAAATAACTTAAATGTTGCTGATCACATTTCAGATTCGAGCCATGATAATTGTTCCATCCATATGACTTGTGAATGTAGTGAATATTGTTTGTATTATCACTGGTTTCTTCAGCTTTCCATCCAACCCTGTGTAGGTTCAGAGGTTTGAATCCTGTAAGGAAAATTATGTGTGTGAGGATTGCTGGACTCCTCTCTATAAAGGATAGTTCACGTAAACGCTGGTCAGTTCTGTCTTCATTCACCATCAAGTTAATGCATTTGAAACAACTATCTAACTGTCCCTATACCTGACATGGACTGGTAACCGGATGAGGTGCTGTGGCCTTATTATCGACTTTCCTCTCCCTTAGGATAATATGAGAATCCTAAAACCCTATCCTATCTCAACTTCAGTACAACATTTTCATTTCACGCAGGTTACAGGAGAAAATCATAAGCAAGGTTCCAGCAATTCACCAGCATCGGGGTTTCAGTCACCGCCACGCACTCAGTCACCGCGGATTGTACAGCAAGTTGCACCATTCAATTACCGTCCCTCACCACGACAGAAGAATTCAAGTTATTCTGAGGAAGTTGTAAGAAAGAAATATTATAGCAGTAAAAAAGTTAGTCCTGACTGCAAACAAACATCTGTATAAAATTAAATTGTATTTTTGAATTCTATCTTTTTTTATTAATGTTTAGCTGTTCTCACTTCTATTTTCATTTTTTTTTTTTTTGAATTCATATACAATTTTCATACAGAAACTGTATATACAAAAGGATATGAATTGTGCATACTTTAAAATTGCCTTAAAGGGTTGTTGTATCAAGCGATTTGTTGAATCAATTCAGGTTTCATTCGTTTCTATTGGTGCTTTACTCTATCCTTTGTTATATGGCGGTACATTTTTACAATCATTTCTATTACAACGATTAACACCACACTGCTTCATACATATTCATATTGCTTTGTATTCGATCTTTATTATAAGTTTACATAAGTGCTGAGGCTTTCCTTTTCCAGTATTTTACTATGTTAATTTGTTTCTATATGTGTTGTAAAGTTTCATATTTTCTCTTTATGCCATAAATACTGTTATTAAAATAATCTGTCCATGTATTTATTTATTACTGCATCACCGTTGTGCTGCTATTGTGCTACATTCTATATTACAATACCTGTTGATCAACTCAGTTACATAAATTTATACCAGCTGTCGTCTAGTATTGATATTATGTAGTGCAGGAATAGTCACTCTTTGGAGTTCGCCTACTTGCGAAGGCTTGCAATTGTTTGGTGTATAACAGAAGACTTATATTTCCTTTTGCGTTCGAGTAATCATATGAATTGATCATGATCTAGTAAAGCAGGGGTCGACAACCTACGGCCCGCGGGCCGGATCCGGAGTAACATAATCCGCCCCGCGACGCTTCACTGAATTATAGTAACAAATCAGCTATTTTGATGATTATATTTTTCACGTTACACAGTTCATTGTGAGACGCTTGTAGACTAAATTATATTATAATCTAACAAGTATAAAATTCACAATTACTCGTTTAATGAGCCTATAATTTAATTATAATCAGACAAATGGCAACCAAACGCAGAAAAGGTGATGCTGAGTGCGAAGAGTTCAAAAATGCAATGCAACGAGGAAATAAATTTATATTCTATTCGAGAGATGTATCACTGCTTCATTTTTATTATAAAAAGTATCATCTGTTCGGTTTTCAACTTTCTAAAAATATGTACGGCCCGCCAATGACTTGCAACTTTTATTTTGGCCGCGAGCGACAAAAGGTTGCCGACCCCTGTAGTAAAGGGATCACCCAACTACGGACCCGTGGACCGAATCCCTCCCGCGGCGTCCTTTCATCTGGCCCGCAATAACACGGAAAAATGGCGCCATTTTTCCAAGAGATGTTTCCCCCGAACAACAACCTCCTTGTTTATTTCGTAACATTGACCAATCAGCAAGATGCAAAACGTGACGTAACAATAGACTTTTCGCATCCGCTCAGACACTTTTGTTATTCGCACAGATTTTCAGTTGTGGTTTCAAATAATATCTCGTTTTCGCGATTTGGAATGCTATTCGTTAGTTTTTGGTCGTGATTCAGAAATTTAAGTATGAATCTAATAAGTTAATCATTATTTTGCCTTCTTGGGAGTTGTAGTTTAATCGCAGTAAACAGAAATTGTCTAGAAATATCTGTGATAAAATAGGCTAAAATCATATACCGGAACGCAGTGTTTTCTGCGAAGGGTGCATTCGTGGCGCGTGCTTTCGGTGAAACTGTTGCTGTGTACGTTTCTCGTGCTAAAATGAACGTCGAACGTGCATTTTTCGTCAATAGTAGCCTACTAGCCATATTACCTTTTGTACTGCTTACATGCGGATATTCAGACAACAATTGTTTTGTTGACAGCTAACCTCAGGATAGTTGTATATAAATATTGTATATTTTGCTATGATGTCCTATGATCTATATTCTGCGATATAGAACTTAATATTCAAGACTTCAGAAATGTAGAATTTACATTATTGAATGGATTTACCAACTTTTGGGAATTTGTTGTATTGCATTGACAAAAATACTTGTCCGACCCGTTTCATCACAGTTTGAGTCATACCCAACGACTAACATACCCGACCCGCGGTTAAAAAAGTTTGGTGTCCCCTGATCTAGTAGACTAGCAGTAATGCCTGAATTCGTGGTTATTCCTAAACTATTTATGTGGGAATGAGTTTCCAAATTAATTTTGCGTTGGCGAGGAGTAGGGCTAATTACCGACCGGAATAAAACAATGTGAGCAAGTCATAGCTATTAGTATATAAGTGCCAACGAATTCGTTGGTTCTTCTACCCCGCTCCTTCTGGACGATCGGATTTCAAATGTAATTTAGATTGATAGAGACCAGTTATCGTTTTTCATGCTGTGGCTAGGTTCAAAATAAAATGTTTAATTTGTAAAATAACCAGCCGTCCGCTTGGCACTCGGAATCAACTTATCCTTTCGGTTTAAGTCTGAATGATCTCTGCTTGCAATCTTCTCAGTGTAACATAGTTTTATTTAAGCCTCTCCACACCATTAATCTGTCGTTATGATAAGAAGAATATAGCAAGTTTTAGTCGAAGCGTCTTCGAGAGAATTAGCTCGATTTTTAGACTTAGCTAGTTATCCGTCCGTTTTCACACTCGGCTCGCCATATGATTAGGCCGTTTTATATCTTTCCACTCCTCGGGATAAATATGTAAATCCTATCCTAAAAATATGGCAATGCCTTAAAACAGTGGTCGGCAACCTTTTTTAATTAAGTGACGGACCGGTAAAGCCTGACGAAAATTTTGGCGGACCACCTTTTATACAAACGAACTAAGCTTATGCAATAAATTATACGCGTTAAGAAACTTATGTTGATAATATACTGCAAAAACGAAAGCCATGCTATTTAATGCGAGATTTGTATTTATTGGCTGGCAATTAACTGTTCCAATATTGGAGATATGGTCGACATCGACACATGTAACGTGTTTCATACAGCCTACTTCGATATTTCCTTTTTTGTAGTTATCAATATTGAAAACCAGGCCTCACATTAATAAGATGTTGGGAAAAGTAACAATGCCTGTAAACCTCCTGTCTCTAGTCTGGGTATTGATTGATGTTTGATTGAACATTTGATTTTACTATTGTTTGTTTTGCCATAACTAATTTTTTACCCGATGTGTTAACTTATGATTATCCTGATCCCTGAAGTATAGAATTAGCACTGACTAGTCATGACCGGTTAGCTATGAGCAAGTAGTGGAGTAGTCACTAGTCACGTTCCTAGCGAGAATCATTTTGTTCGAAAGATCTTATTCCGACTGATGTGAGACTTTCTTATACGGGCGTTGAGGGAACAATTGACCTAGCGTCAATGTGACATAATGACATGGGAATTGTTTGTGAAGTCAGACATGCTGCTGAAATGCGTTATGTTTGTCTGGTTTAGTGCTTTTTTGATCGTGGAGTATGTGGTTAGATTGTAGAGGCTTCATTAGGGCCTTGTCCGTTTCTGTGTCACCTCTCTGCGGACCGGTAGTAACCTTTCCGCGGACCGGCGATGGGCCGCGGCCCGGTGGTTGCCGACCACTGCTTTAAAATACGGACACGAAAAAGCACTGTCAGAGCAGTGTTCCCATAAAAAATTAGAATACAACGAAATTTTTTTGTGAAATATCGGTCACAATGGTCTTCAAAAATATGCCATAAAATAGAAGTAATGATTTTCTAATAACTTGTAATTGAATACTTAAGGTTTAGTAGTGCAGAAAAAAATCTTTCTCGACAACAATGTCAAGGCTTTCAATTGACAACAATAAAAATTTAGCAAAACCATTTTTATGCACACTTCATGTCCAATTACCAAAGAAACAGCGACGAGTTACATGTACAAAATACCTTATGGACCTAAGGTAAACGCCCATAGTCCATAACACTATTCTGCATTCGGGGTGTTTGAGAAATTCAATTCATTTTGATTAAGTGAACTCTTCTTTAAATCGCGTGTAAATAATCGAGCAAGAGGTCGAAGGGTCGGCTTTAGTTGAGGTAAGTCTGTCGTAACGCTCTCTCCTGTACTGACTTTCCTTCTGCTGTTTCATCGCCCGTTTGTCGACGTCGACAACTTTAAAACACAGACTTGCATTAATAGCAAAGGTAAGATATTACTAATGAATTCTTAATCGTTTTGTCAGTAAATTCTATACGGTCCTAGGTAGACGGATTCAGTAATCTGGCTAAGAATTGGTACCGGTAGCGCTGTTAGCTATTACCTGTACCGTACCTTACAGTACAGGTATTCTGGTACCGTACCGGTAATCCGTGGAATATCGTATTGATTCTCCTATTGTTATCTGATATCGTACGGTATCTTTGGTCTGTCGCACCCTGAACTCATTTTTTGCCACAACAATTAATTTGTACCGTACCGTAGTCTAGCGGCGGTGTGGCTCATCGTGCTAAGCTTTGCGAATACGTTCGCCACTGCGCGGGTTCGAATCTCACACGGGGATACCGGTAGTTATGTGTGAGAGGATTGCTGGTTTCCTCGCTGTCGTAGGGTGGTTCAGGTAACTGCTGGTCGTTTATGTTATGGCTTCCTCCACCATCAAGTCCATGCTTCCGAAAAGAAATAGCTAACTAATCCCATACTGATACCCGACATGGAATGGTAACCGGACGAGAGGCCGCAGTTCGCTAATGGTTAAGCCGTCTTATCCACTTTCGTCTCCCCCAGGATAAATATGTAAATCCTTTCCTATCTATAATCTTGTAAAATTTCTGCACTAAAAGTTTTTTCCAACGATCTTCTGTGTTACATACAGCAAGCTGCTTGCTTAGGCATGTTCATATTGACTTTTAAATATTTCATGTTAGTCTGTATGAGATAACAAGATTAATAAAATAACTACTTTTTCCAATCTTTTGTAACTTCTCAGTAGTTACTAATTTTACTTTAACTGGTCTCACTTTTTGGGTAGGTCAATGTGACTTATTCAACAATTGTTTATTAATAACATATCATTTTCAACATGTTTTGCAGAATCGAAATGGGTGGTGATGCAGAACCTCCGTTTGAACTGAAGGGATTTCAGAAGTATTTTAACTCATATACTCAGAAGGGGAGAGCAAATGTAAGATTTTACTTGCATGCTGATATTAATGTGTTCTTGTTAAAAATTATGCATCAGAATGTTTATGAATTTTTGGGTGTGAAATATGTTATTGATAAAACTTTGGCATTCTATCAATTTGTTCATTTTAAATTATATGTGCCTCACAATGTGTTTATACCGATTGAATGGCTGCGCCATTCCTAACCCCTTCTGCTGCACAATGTAGAGCTCAATAAGTGCTACCAATCAATCAAATTGTTTCTCATTTTGTATCAAAAATATACCAGTGATTGAACCCTGGACAAAGTCACTCAAAACCAAGGCTGCAGGGCTGCAAAAACTTCAGTTTGGTATAGAGCTGACATGGGCAAACTATGGCTTGCGGGCCAAATGCGGCCCGCATGACGCTGTCACAACCAAACTAAAACCAACTCTTGATGTTTTAGCAAAAAAATATCTCAAGGAATTTGTTTAGATTTCGATTACATTCAATAATGGAACGGGGTTTATTGTTTTCCACTTTTGCTCATGAAACACGGTAGATATTGTTCAAAAAAAGTTACTTTTTATGTTACACTTACAGTGCCCTCCAATCTAGGTGTCAAAATTATTGGCCATGGTCCAAAAACCGTGCCCACTCCTGATTTAGAGTCATTTAAAAAATGACTCAGCAAAATGACTCAGTTTTGTGTAGAGCAATACCTGATGTAATAGATGACATTTATTGATTTTTTGTTGCATTGTAATTATGTATTTTTATTTTTTAAGGTGGTGGTCTTTTCATTAGCTCTTGCAGCAGTTGGAATATTCGCGGCCACAAGACCGAAAAAGGCTTCATGATTGCATCTAGACACGTTTTTTGTTGAACCTGATTTAAATTAAATGCTTTATTAAATACAATTTGTGTACAATGTCAGATCAACCTTATTCAGGTTTGGGACGATATGACTTTTTGTGATGGTCGTTTTGTTGAAAGTGGTAACAGGATATCACTTCAGCTGCCTTGTGTTCTGAAACCAGTAGTCGCAGCTAATAGGGAGCACCTGGAAAGATTCTTTCAGCTCAAGCAGAGTTGTGGCACGCCGTGGTCATTCCGGTAATGGTTGTATTACTTGATGCAGTAGTGTTGAGTTTCTTTCTTTAGAATCTAGAATTCAGGTCAATCAATCCAATTTTGGTCGCCTCGCCATGAGACGAACGCGGCAATGTAAACGCACTCTGGTCCAGATCAAAGCACTGAATAAAATAGTACAAGGCAACGATTTTTTACCAACTAGAGTTCAATAAATGTATCTGTCGTCATATGGTGCAATGTTACTTCAATGAAGATGCATAATGTTTTAAATCTGTGACAAATATACAGAGAGAAATAACACATTGCCGAAAGGAAAATGTAATTCGACATAGGGAAAAATTTGCACATAGTGTGTAAGCTAGTAGCTTTCTAGCAGCAGTGCAAAAAATAAGTAAAAGCTGCGAATAGCAAGAGGGCGCCAACCCTCGGTGTACACCAGGGGTGGCCAACGCGTCTGGTGTTGAGTGAATTTTACCAAATTCCCCCCGAAAATTGCATTGAACCAGTTTTGTGTTTTAAAACAGAAAGAATATAGTACTGTACAAGCAATACAATATACGCATACAGTATTCGAGTCTAGGCGAGCCCGATAAAGCATATTATAACGTCAAATGCAAGTTTTTTCTAATTCTAAGCAAGCAAAGAATCGCACTTCGAGAAAATGTAAATTAGATACTGAAGTTTGAGCAGTCATGTAATGTAACATTCATGGTTTTTGAAGAATTTCCGATACGTACGACTAAAAATTAGGCACGCCTTATATCTGTAATGTATGATTTGAATAAATCTCAAATAAATGATGAAACACTTACTCCGAGTACAATTGAATAATCAAATCAACAACTTAAAGAGAACATAAAAAATGCAAATTTTGTGTCGATTTTATTATGAATGCGGAATTTTTGTATGCGTGTGTGGATTTATCTGCATATTCAGTACTCATTCGTTTTTGTGTAGTAACCTATTACGGATCAGTCGATCGCGATCTATTTTAAAGATTTTAGTCGATCGTGATCGAAAGCAGGTTGGTGTACAAGAACCGGAAAATTGATGGAAATATTTTTCGGACATGCCAAATGTGACTTCATTGTCTTTGTATCCGTGAGCTGCGAACTCTTTGGAAACCCATGCGCGATTAATTTGGATTTGGTCAATCTTGAATCAGGTGAAAAACAGCATGTAACGGTGGAACAAAGGTAAGAACAAGTGTCGAAACAACTTGTTTGACATAAAAACTTGCTCTCGTCATGTCGAGACCGTTTCTGATTCTCTTCTCTTATCAACGTTTAATTCTCAAGTCATTCCTTATTGAAGAAGCCGAAAATGAATTTATTCGTGGATAGTTTCACGCGGTGTAATTGCCATCGACGCGAAACTGCGATTGTCCTTTCGTGCAAATTTCCATTAGTACGAATGTCCATGGGTTCAAAACTGCAAATATACGTTGATTCAAACGTGTAGTACGACCTACAGCAACGCTGGAAAGAACTACTATGGCCAATAAATCAATAAATTCACCGAGATTCATATGCCCCACCCCGCTACCCATAAATGGTAGCATAAATTTACGAAATGCAATCAAGCCACCCAAAGGAAGCACAGGTGATGGCAGCTGTGAAAAAAATAGAGACCTCTCTCCAGTGAGATGCTTATGATGCTTCGCGGACGACGTGTTGGCCACCCCTGCTCTATAATAATTGCGGGTCAATGATATGCGAAGGAGTTTCATTCTGTAGAAGGGTATGACAGAACATTCGTTAAAAAACCATGACCAAACGTGCAAATATTTGATTATTTCCTCATTGTTTTTCTTCGCACGGAAATATGGGTAACCTCAAATGAGTTTCTGAAAACGAATCCAGATATGTCCAAATTTAATAATTTTTACATCATAATAATCGTTCGAGAGTCTCAGTGAAATTAAAATAAAGTATATTATACGTCAAGGTGACAGCACGTTTGAACCCACGTACATTTGAACCCATACATTTGTACCCGTATATTCGCGGCTCAATCTATATACGGGTGCTAACATCCATGGGTTCAAATATCCGTAGGTGCAATAGTATGCAGGTGCAATTGTCGTGGGTTGAAATGTACGTGGGTTCAAATGTAATGGCACGATTCAACACACTCTAGTTTGAACTTTGATTCATCAAAGATGTAATAGAATTTAGCAACGGATTTCAAAGACATTCTAATCCGAGCTACCCATAGACCCACAAGGATATATTTATTGGGTGATATTGAAAGACGAGTGCTTGAGACGCAGTGAATCGGACACATTCCCGATTTTAGTGATGCCTCAACAGTCAGCGAAATTTGTAAGTTTGTTTCTCTGATAGCACTATTCAACAAATTCTGTGTAAAAGATATAATTAATATTGCTCGTACATAGGCTTGCACGTAATTTACGGATTTACGGAATTATTTCGAGTTACGGAAGCGAAGTTACGAATTACGTAAAGTCGTAAACGAGCTCTCTTCAGAGCAGTCAATTCCGTCGATTGTAAAAAATTAAAGTTAAGTAAAAGAAGTTAGAGTTCCGGTTTTTCGCAGCCGTTTTTCTCTCTCTTGTTAGGCAGATGGGGAAGGCATAACGCGTCATCAGTTGCGAAGGAAAATTGTATTACTGGGCAACTAAAGACCAGTCGATTCCAAATATTCAGTTCTTGAAGATGGAATCAGACACTAAATTGTCATTTCTTCAAATACTTTCTCATCTTTTTACTAATTTCTTTCTATTTTATGGATATTGCGCATTACGTCGGATTAGTGCACTATCGAAAAGCCGGTGTTCCTCGTTGCGCTGGAGTACCAGGTATATAAATTGCTAAGGCGGCGATACTTGATTTGCAATATAGATTTCAATGCAAGTCGCTTAGACTACCGATACTGTGTTTAGTCTTTAGAATTTCGTGTCCATATATTTCAGCATTCTTGCTGCGTCTTCCTGAGAATATCTTGAAAACTATATATATTATATTTGTAAATTTGGAAGGTTTTACTGATATTAGGCATATATATCACAAATAATATCACAAATAATGATTCAAAACTGATTCAAAATTTCATACTAAATAAATTCTAAACTACATACACATAAAGAAATCAATAACAATATACTCTGATTTATGCTTGAACAAATATATATATTAAAATAGGCAATTCTAAGATTTCAATGAGTTATACTATATATTAGGCTACGTTTATTTTCACACTTGGGCATGGTAAACAAAAACATTATGCCAGTGCCTGGTTTGCAATTAACTTCTACGTTTATGTGGTTTCTTGTATAAATTCTTGTTTAGGGCGATGATTGAAACCAAATCATGAAAATATCATAGCTGTGTATAGTATAATTAGATTTGTAATAATGTTCTATGGTCTTATTTTGAGTTTACTTATTGCAAAAAATATATATTGAGACAATATTTTGATAGATGTAATATTTATAGTAATACGAAAATGTCGCAATCATGAAAGTATGAAAAAATTAAAACTGAAATCACAACAGAGAAGTACATTTACATATGGAAAACAAATTATAAATTTAGCTAACCCTTCACTATTATGTTGGTTGGTATTCATTTCTTATTCCAACAATGCTTTTAGTATCAAATCTTTGCACTCACAGGATGTTGACACAAGCTTGTCGCCGTGAATTTTTTTCAGAAATTCCCTATCCAGCGAGCTGAGTTGCACAAGATTGAACAACGTTGGGAGAACAGTTGTTCTTTCAGCTGCGTTCGCTCGAACCCATTCCAAAGCTGCCGTGGCTTTCATTTCTTCTGTTGCATTCACATCGTGGGACGAAAAAAGATACACAATATCCTCCTGGTCCAGGTTCATGAACGCTTTATGGCGATAAATAACGCCAAAATTTGCTATCATATATTGCCGTAAATGTTGGACAATGTTAGTCGGTCCCAGATTAGCATGTTTCCATGTGACTTCGAGCAAGTGCGGCCAATTTATCAAATCAATATTCGACAATTCCGTAACTGAGAATAAACAGCTGACAATCATTTCATAGCATATTTGAGATTCCCGAACAAGGTTTTCATTTTCAGCCTCGTAAAGAAGTTTGAAAGGAAGAGTGTGTGGGTTCAAAGTTGAGATCATTTCTGGAAGAAACCTTTTCCTTTCAATCACACTGCTTTTTATCCATTGCAGTATGGATGTCCATTTCAGCTCTGATTTGCCACTTATTACCGGAGAAGTGATTAAACCCATGAACTCATCCTTTTCCAGTTCCTCTTTATTTATTTTTTCAAAATTGGTCACCATGAAGTCTTTCAAAAAATTCATAGTGTCAGCCGAACAAAGTTGATTGTATTTTTTAGCAAGTTGGAACAAACTAAACCAATTTTCAACATCAATGTCACTGTATGATAGTACTGAAAACAAAGACTTAGTCACCTCATCCACACATTCCTGTATATGAGATTGACTTACCAAGGGCTCTTTATTCACATAGTTGTAAAGAAACGTGAAGGAATAATTTTTCAATTCGAGCACTTGTAGCAATTCAGATAAACTCGCTTGTCGATTTTCGATGTCTGCTTTCAACCATTTCATTGCCGAATTCCAAATTAATCCTTCCGGCCATTTCTTCAATTCCGGTGATTGCAAAATCACCACAATATCTTCTTTTTCTAGACCATAGAAGGATTGTTTTGCTCTGACGTGTTCGAAGTTGTCCTCCATAAATTTATATACTTTCTGGATGACAACATTTGCCCGATCAGTATCATGTTTTTTTGCTGTTTGAAGCAACGAAAAGAAATTTTCAATATTGATATCATCTGCAGTCAAGGCATAA